GTCAAGTTTTGTGTTATTTGCCAAGTTTATTTTTATCTACTATTATTGATGTGTTCTGCTTGTGAATAAGTACCACATTTTTTCATTCTTGCACTGACAATTGCTGCTGCACATTAACCTAAAATTTATATATTTTACACGTTTTAGCTACATTTTAGCTATGTTTAGTAGTTTTAGTCGTATTTCTTTATACTGCTAATTATCAGTATCATTTACTGTCAGTGGTAACACTGAAATCCGGTTCGATTGCATCCACTTGTGAGTTGTCTTCGGGTAGTGCCAAAGTACTTTAATTGTCAACTTATTCATAAATTTTGATACATTTTCAATGTTTTGATCAGTTTTTTTTTGACATTTTTGTTGTAATGCAATATTTTTTCTGGTCCCTTCATTAACTCTGTCGATCATCATTTTCCTTAATTTCATTGGTTATCAAAAACATCTCTCTGCAGGCGGCATCTTATGCTCTAATTGCATATAAAAGGTATAATACCCTATATTTGACACTTGCGTATGCTATTGCATATATGGTAAAAACCAGCTCTTAACAAGTCTTTGTGTTTAAAGTTTACAAAATCAAGTAAACTTTATGTATCAACCATTTTTTCCGCTGATTCAAATATCAAATATAATTTTATAGAAAAACATTGAGTAAAAAAATGATTATAAAATTTTTTTGTTGAATTCCCTTTTTTTTTTAGTTAAAAAAAAAGTCATTTTCTGGTCAATATAATCTAAAATAATAATTTTCTCATGTCAGGCTATAAGATAGTTGATATATGCATTGAAGCTCCTGCAGCTTCCAGTTTTAGTATGATGTCATCAGCATGCGTGAAATGCTGAATATAAATATGTGTATATTTATATATATACATATATAAATATGTATATATATATATATTTATTTATATATGTATATATAGTTATATATGTATATATTTATATATATGTGCATATGTTTATATATATATATATATATATATATATATATATATATATATATATATATATATATATATATATATATATATATATATAATAAATAAATATATATATATATATATATATATATATATATATATATATATATATATATATATATATATATATATATATATATATATATATATATATATATGGGTCATTCCATGCCAAATGGACTGAAATATTGGGATTCCAACACGGACCCCCTCAGATTTTGATGAATCTTTGTGGTTTGGTTTAAACCAATGAGAAAACCAAATCCGGAAAATTTCAGGTAAAAATCTTTTGTGGTTCATGAGATATTGCCATTTGAATATTCTGATTTTTTCAAAAATTAAAACTTCATTAGCAAAAACATGTTTTGTTCATACTTTGAACCTTTGTATTTTAAAAATGAAGATTCAGAAAATCTTCTAGTAAAATCATTGTAACCTTCAATAACAAATTTCTTTTAAGATTAAGGTTCTGGTTAAAAAGTAAATGGACAGGGTGGAAGGGGAGGCAACTCAGGCTGTTCTAAAACTGAGTTTAATTCAGTCTTAGTTTAAAGCTTATTTCAAGTAATGATTTTGATATACTTTTATACATTTATATTTTTTGCATTGCAGTAGATAATGAAAACTTAAGTACATCAATTCCTTTATTTTTATCTTTTTTAATGTATTTTGTGCCAACTTCATTGCTCTGACTTTGTCACTTCCCCATGAGTACCCACTAATTTTTTTTCTGAAATCACTTTAATAAAGTCTTTTAAACCAGTAAAAAAAAAATTATTATAAAAACCAATTGATCCAACTCTACGTAGTTGTTTCTTGACTGTATCATTTAGCTAAATGATATGGTCTGAGTTTGTCTCTGTTGTTCGTGTTAACCTGTTTATTACACTTGACTATTTTAAGTCTTTTAACTATTTTATCACTCTTTTTTTTTTAGTTTAATTGAAAATTCTGTTCTTGTTTTCTTATTTTGATGTTCGCACAAGTCTTGCTTAAAAAAATCATTATCAAGTTATTAGTATGCATACACAATTAAAAATTATATTCAGTAATTGCGCATAAAAAACCTGTCTACAATATATATTTAGTAATTAAACATGTATTTTCAATAAATATTATTATTCTAAATAATGCAATTTACTCAAAATATAATTGAAAAAACTTTAAATGCTAAACAAAAAATATCAACTCAATAAACACAAACTCATTGGATCAAACTCAAGACTTTTATTATACTAAAATGAGCGGACTTTTGCTTTTATAGTAGAACTTTCCAAAACAGACTCAAAGTTAAAAATTATAATAAGTAATTACACAAAAAAATCTGTCTACAACATATATTTAGTAATAAAACTTGTGTTTTATAATAAATATTATCAACCCTTGGAATTAGGAAAAATGAGGTCGGCAATAATTTGCCAACTTCAATCTTTTTGAGATTTGCATCAGATCGGCCAAAATTATTTGAAACAAAGGTCTAACCATAAAACATAGAAATGAGGTCAGCAATTTTGACCTCAATCACTTTCAGGTTGGCAGTTAGATCGGCATTGCCGAATGCTGATCCTAATTCCGAGGGTTGTATTATTATTACATAATATTTATATAAGAAATTAATTAACTTAAAACAAATTTCAGGCAACTTGCCTTTACACAGATTCCAAAATTTTTGCTACAGTATTGGGTACAACCAAAGATATATGTATATATATATATATATATATATATATATATATATATATATATATATATATATATATATATATATATATATATATATATATACATACATATATCTTTATATATATGCATATATGTATATATATATATATATATATATATATATATATATATATATATATATATATATATATATATATATATACATATATCTTTATATATACACACTATAGCATATTTATATGCGCAATTGCTCACTTTTTTTGGTAGCCTAAATTAAGTGAGCATTTTTAGAAAACGATGAGGGAAAACGAAGAATAATGAATGAGAAGGTTGCTGACCCATACCAAACCCTCAGTCGATGTAGCAGCACTCCACTGCGAGTCAGGCTATTTGTCAGTCGATGTATGTACTGAAGCCCCCGGCAGCAGGCTATTTGACGATATATGTATATATATATATATATATATATATATATATATATATATATATGTATATATATATATATACATATATACATATATATATATATATATATATATATATATATATATATATATATATATATATATATATATATATATATATATATATATATATATATATATATATATATATATATATATATATATATATATGCAGCGTGTTAACCAGCCTGATGGCACTGCATATAACACGATATTCCTAATCGCTTTCAAATTCCCAAAGGTTCATAAGATCATAGTAAAAAAAAAATAAATAAATTAGTCTCAGATTTTAAGTGTCGCACTAGACAAGTAAAAAACACAATTAGAAGCATGACAAAAAAATGAATTAAATTGATTGATTTTTTTAATGTGTAAAAACGTGTCGTCATTAACAAGCGTCCATACATTAACATTAACATAATCATTCATTCAAAAGTTTAAAAAAACTTTATTTATTTATTTTTATTGACGTCAGTTAATCTTGAGTTAAGATTTTAAAAAGTTTAATAAATTATTTTATTAATTTTTATTATTCAAAAACTTTTTATTTATATTTTTGCTGTTTATCTTAAGTTAGTAAAGTTACAAAGAAATTTGCATAATAATAAATGTTATACTTTAAAATAAGTTAATAACGTTTTTATAAAAGATTTATTAATACTCTCAGTAAAATAAATTAGCAGGTAAAGTAAATTGATGTCTTCCCTTTAAACCACCGGTAACCTAGGATCAACACTGGTTTTCATATTAATTTTTTTTTTACTGGTTTAAAAGACTTTATTAAAGTGATTTCAGAAAAAAAATTAGTGGGTACTCATAGGGAAGTGACAAAGTCAGAGTAATGAAGTTGGCACAAAATACATTAAAAAAGATAAAAATAAAGGAATTGATGTACTTAAGTTTTCATTATCTACTGCAATGCAAAAAATATAAATGTATAAAAGTATATCAAAATCATTACATAGTTAATACGTTACATTGTAAGTTTTATTTTTGATTATTTTTGTTATTATTTTCAATTTACTTTACCTGCTAATTTATTTTACTTTTTATTTTTTTTATTTTTATTTTTTTAAACATGCTTGTGTGTGTGTGTGTGTGTGTATATATATATATATATATATATATATATATATATATATATATATATATATATATATATATATATATATATATATATATATATATATATATATATATATATATATATATATATATATATATATGTATATATATATATATATATACATATATATATATATATATATATATATATATATATATATATATATATATATATATATATATATATATATATATATATATATAAATATATATATATATATATATATATATATATATATATATATATATATATATATATATATATATGTATATATATATATATATATATATATATATGTATATATATATATATATATATATATATATATATATACATACACTTCATAAGCATTGTGACCTCATACTAATATAGGGGGCTGTTGTGGGTTTCAGTACATATACCACCTGACTGACTGACTAAATAGGGAGAACTGACAGTTTTATCACTTTCATTATAATAAAATGTTAAAAGTAAAAAAAGCTAATACTAATAATGAGAGTATATAGCATTTTGTAATCATATGTTGTTTGTTCATAGGGCTTTTTATGTCCAATGTGTATGGCATCATTTCCTGGACCAGCTGAATTGCAAGTTCATTTTGAGAAAGTGCATAGTGGCGGAACTTTAGTAGAAGAGAAGCTTTTAAACCTTGATGATGATAATGACGATGATGGTGATCATGTAGATATTTTATTTTAAATAGAATTCAAGTGTTTTTTTTTAAAATGATTTTCAAAGTAGTACATTTTTTAGAGATTTTTTAAGTTTCATTTTATCTACAATATCTGTTTTTGTGATTGGCTCTATTTTTTACAATAAGCACGATATCACATTAAACTATTGAGCGCTCAATATCCCTTTCTTTTCTTTTTTTTTACATTTTTTTTTTAATTTTTTGTTTAATCATTTGGACCTTTTTTTCCAATACTCTTAATATGTCACAATGTTTAGACTCATTCATCTGTTTAAATTCTAAATACTATAACTCTTTGATCACTAAAAAATCTGTTTTATTATTAAATTAGTTTGATTGTTTATTTTAATTACTTTAAAAATATAACCCTTTGCTGTTGTAAAACTCTTTAAAAGTGTTGCTTTGTTGTAGACAGATGCTTTGCCTGATCATAGTAAAAATGATGGTTTAGTGCACTCTTTTCTTGACACTCAAACAGATAAATATGACTCTGAAGAAAAAGAGACTAGTCTGCTCCGACATGAGCTTTTTGAGTTAAAATCAGAGCTAAAGGTATATTTTAAAATTTTGAAATATTTTTTAAATTTATAGAAAACATAAAAAAACTTTATAAGAAAACATCATTTAATATAAAAAAAGTGTATGAAATTTTGCAGGAAGAAAAGTGGTATAGTAGGCAGCTAAAAGTTGAGCTGGAAACAATTTCATCACAGCTTGAAAAGTTAGAAGAGGTTTGTTAGAATCAAATTATTAATATTACTATTTTTATTGTTATTATTTTTGTTATTTTTAATAATCCTAGTAATGTTGTTACAAAATTTTTTTTTACAAAGTTGACTATTATATCATTTATTTGGGGCTTACCATGAAATTTTTAAAATTCATGCTCTAAATGTTTCATTTTGGTTTTATAATTTTTTAACAGAATTTGTTTTTGTTCTTATTAGTTCTTTTTATTCAATAATTCTTTTTTGTGTTCATAATTTTTCATAAATATAGACAATTTAATTTAAAAACTCAACAGCAAAACGAAGGTTTTATTCAAGTTTGATTTAGGAACCTTTTATTTAAATTGTAAACAAAACAATTAAAATAAAAATAAAATAAAAAACATTTTATTTGAAAAACAAACTTTCTATTTTTTGGCGACCTTATTTTTCTTAATTCCTTTGGAATTAGGAAAAATAATGTCGACATAAAACTACCAACCTAAAACTGTTTTAGGTCAGCATCAGATTGGCTTATATATTGAAACAGGATTTGACAAATCAATAAGTGTACAGATTTTCAGCATAAAATTGGCGGAAAAACAAACACAGAGTTTGCCAACTTTTCTTTTTAATGTTGATATTTGCTAAAAATTAAAAAAAAAACAAAAGTTTTGCTGATTTTTTAAATATATTTTATTTAGAATTAATAACATGTTTGTTTTTCCTTTTTTTTAATTAATATTTGATTTTTTTTAATTAATATTTTTTTAAATTAATATTTTTAATTAATAACATGTTTGTTTTTCCTTTTTTTCTTTTTTTTTTCTTTTTACAAAACAATAAAAATAAAATAAAACGTTTTTTATTTTATTATTTAATTGTTTTGTTTACAATTTAAATTAAGGTCCTTAAATCAAATTTAAATAAACGTCTTTATTTTGATAATTTTATTTAAAATTAAAAGGATTTATTTTGCTGTTTATAATTTATTTAAAAATTCTGAGGTCAGCAAAAAATTGCTGTCTTCAGACACTGACAAGTCAGCATTGCTGAATACTGCTAAATATAATCTTAATTCCAAGGGCTCGAAATGTATATTCTAGAAATATTTTTATAAAATCAAGTTTTTAAAGTTTTAATATTTTGTTAGTTTTTAATTTAACAAACATTTTTTTTTGTACATAAAATCATTTTATGTATTTTTTTTTCTTTTCCCACTTTCACTTATTTTAGTGTATTTACTTAGTTATATAATTTATTTACTTATATATATAATTTATTGGAACTTATGTTTAAAGCAATATGTTTTATCAAAACTCTTTTACAGGGTTTATGTGCAATAAATTGTCAATGCAATTTATTTAGTTTTATTTATTTAGTGCATTTATAAGCTGTGTATATTTCACTTTTATTATTAAATGTAAATGCAGTTTCTTAACTTGTTAAAGTTATTATCAGGGGTGTGGAGTTGTAAAAAAAAGTAACGACTCTGACTCCTGTTGTTGAAATTTTTTGAGTACAACTCCGACTCCAACTCCTACTCTGAAACCAACTCCAAAGCAAAATTTTTCGAAAAATTCTTTGAATTCTTTAAAAAATATTATGCAATAAGAAAAAAATTTTCTATTGACAAATTTATGAAACGTTCTTTGAGGTTTAGTATGAAAATAAGGTTAATTGAATGTTTTGTACATATTGGAGTCGGAGTTGTGATTTTGTTTAGCCACTCCAACTCCGTTAAAATGTTGCAACTCCACAACTCTGACTCCACAGCCTTGGTTATTATAAGTATCATTTTGAGGTTAAGTCTATTATTTTAAATTAGTACATCATCATTATGTGATGATTTTTTCTTTCATGAAATTAGTAAGCGACGGGGGCCACAGCTAAAAATGAGAAATTTTTCAAACCCGGTCTCGACAAAATTATAATATTTAGCAGGTGTTAACAGAAAAAAATGTATAATACTTTATGTTATAAATTTATGCATACATTTACTTTTTGTTAAATACTGCCATATATATATATATATATATATATATATATATATATATATATATATATATATATATATATATATATATATATATATATATATATATATATATATATATATATATATATATATATATATATGAGTTACTAGAAAACAAAGGATAGAGTTAAAAAACATGGATACTTAAAAAGTTGTAGGTTGTGTGAGCAAGGAAAACATGAAGATTGGTGAGAGTTTTGAGGTTTTGTTGATGTGCAAGAAAAAAAGAATGACAAGCCAAACGAGAATGAGTTTTGTTTGATCAAATTTTGGATGGTAACTTATTTTGGCGGCAACCATGATAATATTTGTAAAAACAAAAAGAGATGCAACCTTACAGCAATGGTAGAGAAGATCAAGATTGGCAAATTAATCAGGTCCAACTACATTTACAATGTGCTTTCGGACCTTATCTGAGAACAAGAAGGTTGTTATTTGTCAATATAGGAATGTCATAAATATTATGATGGTTGTTTGTAGTAAATAATTGATTTTTTTTTGGAGTTTGAATCCACAAACAACTGCAAGACCCAGCTGTTACAGAAAAGTAATCAGAGCAAAGATACTTGCAATCAAAAGGTAAAGACTTTTTGTCAAGACAAGAGTATATAGTTGAATTGTTAGCAAATAGAACCACTTTAGATGTAAGGTTGTAGATAAGAAATAATGTAGGAACAAAGAACATTGTGGTTGTAACCATTCTTTTCCTGTAAGTGCAGTTGTAACCATTCATTTCCAGTAACCCTTTAAATTTACTGGAAATGAAGGCAAATGAAGGTCTTTGAGATTGACTTTGAGATTGAGAAGACTAATCGTAGGGTAGAAGAGATCAGTGTGCTTTCTAGTGTGTTTAAAAATTGGAATCACTTATTTAGCACTTAATAAAAATTAATAATTTAGCGCGAATTGAAGTGAGTTATAGAGAACACTTTTGTAAATCTATGGTGGAAATATTATTTGAACCACAAACCATAGAAGAGTTTAATTAATAATTGAATTTAGCATTAAAACCGAAGTGATTTGAATGCCTAACAATGGGTTAATTTGTTTAACTAGAATGGTAGGAAGAATATGGCCATTAAATTCAATAGTCAATTTAGAGTGAAAGTTCTTTGCAAACGACTTATTTTGGGTAAAAGTGATAAGATTCCATAAATTAGAGATATGTTAGACTTACCTTAGTTAATATAATGTTGAAGATTTTCCAAAAGTCTCTAGAACCTAACATCTGAGTTAAGATTTTACTGAGAATAACGAATCTTAGCATCAGACAGGAAACTTTTTTAAAACAAAGTCAATGATGATATGCAATGATGATAATGGCAATGATAATGGTGATGATGATGATGATGATGATGATGATGATGATGGTGATGATGATGATGATGATGATGATGATGATGGTGGTGATGATGATAGCGATGATGATGATAATGATGATCATGTTGATCATTATGATGTTTATATATAAATATACATGAATATGTATGTAAAGCATAACATGAGTTTCCAATAAAATAAAAACTTTAGGATGTATTACTGTTATTAAAAGTGACAAAACTAGCTCTAGTCACAACCCGGCCCTGGCTGTTTTTTATCAAACCTGGCCCTGGTCTCAGTCAAAATTTAACCTGGGTTATTTACTACATGAAGTATTGCAAACATGAATAATGAACACCCATTAATGCGCCCATTTATTATACGCACTCATAGAATCATCAACATAATGCAAATTATTTTATAATTTTTTATTTCTCTTATTTAAATTAAATTGTATTTTGTGTTCTTTTAGGATAAAAAATTAGTTGAAGAAGAATATCAAAATCAGTTAAAATCTGCTGAGATAGGATACCTATCAGGTATTTAAGTCTCATGCTTATGACTCAATAACCATTTTTGCCTATGACAAAATTTCAAAATAAATTTCAAATATAGAGTTTCATATTACATGCTAAAAGTTTCTGAAATCTGTAAAATGTAATGCTGATTTTTTTAAATGTATAGTTGTTGAAGAAAACAAAAAGTTAAAAGAAGAAATTAAGTTTGCTGACTATCATACAACAAAAGAACGTCATGAAAAGCTTGTAAGTAGGAATTATTCAATTTTATTTGTTTTTTGATTTAGCTTTGAGTTTGAAGCCTGTTTGAAGTTTGTTCATGGTAGGACCTAACATGTTTTGTTTTATTCAGTCTTGATTATTAAGATTTGTATTTTAGATACATAAGGTTAATAGAGAGTTGTAACTATTTTTTCAAATTATTAGCCTCATAGACTGTGGTGCCCCCCTCAGTGTTAAAAAGGTGAATACATAAAAAATAGTTATAAAATAATAAATAAACTTATATGTGTATATATATATATATATATATATATATATATATATATATATATATATATATATATATATATATATATATATATCCTTGCAATGTTGTCAGAAAGTTTTTCCATATTTTGTTGACGTAAAAAAAATATTTAAATGCAAGACTGGAAATTTTCTTTTTTTCTTTTATTATTTGATAGACTATCTGCCCAAACCAAACCTGCAGTCGATGTAGCAGCACTCCTTTGCGAGTCAGGCTATTTGTCAGTCGATGTAGCAGCACTCTGTTGCGAGTCAGACTATAAAATAGTCTATGTAGCAACACTCGTGCATGATTTACAGTAAACAAAATTAAAATAAAAACATTTTATTTAAAGAATAAAAATAAAATTATTGTTTATATTTTTAAAAACATTCAGTCAATTAAATTTGCATTTTTGCGGTTTTTTAAAAAAGTGATTAAATTAATGATTTTAACTTTATGACATCACGGAAATGTTGGATGAATGTCAAAAGTAATTTAAAGTGATGTAATTTGTTATAATAGTAGTTATTAATTACAAAGTATATATAATATATAAATAATTATTATTATTTAAATAATAATGAAACATTCAGAATGTATTTATTTTTATTAAAGAAATAAAAAAACATTAAAGTCCATTATGTTGTGTTTTATATATCTCAGATGTAGAAAGTAACAAATTACACTTACTCAAGTTACTGTAATTGAGTATTTTTTATGTAAATTTTGAACTTATTAAGTATTTTTTTTAAATATATACCTTTACTTAAGTATACATTTTTTAAAGTATTGTTATCATTTAAAGTACTTTGCCAGGTTTTAAATCATAAATGTTACTGAGTAAAAAAAATTACTACATATTTGTTACTGAGTAAAAAAATAAATGTTACTGAGTAAAAAAAATTACTACATATTTGTTACTGAGTAAAAAAATAAATGTTACTGAGTAAAAAAAATTACTACATATTTGTATTATTCACAAATGTTACTGAGTAAAAAAAAATACTACATATTTGTATTATTCACAAATGTTACTGAGTAAAAAAAATTACTACATATTTGTATTATTCACAAATGTTACTGAGTAAAAAAAATTACTACATATTTGTATTATTCACAAATGCTACCAAGTAAAAAAAATTACTACATATTTGTATTATTCACAAATGTTACTGAGTAAAAAAAATTACTACATATTGAATTACATACATATACATACTACAAAAAAATGGCAAAATTACATACATATACATACTACAAAAAAATGGCAATTAAAAATAGCCAATAATAAGTCCTTTACTCATAGAATAGCACCTACTTCATTTTGTAAAGATATAAGTTACAACTATCAATTAGGCGATCATAATTTAACTTGGTCTACAAACCCAAAAGATCTTGGTGTGACCATGGATTCTTACTTGAATTACAGTAATCATATTTCAAATATCGTCTGTGCATCAAACATTCGAGGATATCTAATCCTTAAGTGTTTAAAAAGTCGTGATCCACGTGTTATCGTTAAAGCCTACACTACTTATATAAGACTGATCTTAGAATATTGCTCTCCGGTTTGGTCGCCAAATCGCACTAAAATGAACAATGCAGTGGAAAGAGTACAAAGACATTTTACCAAGAGAATTTCTAACCTAAATAATGTTTCATATTCGAGTAGACTTAGTATTATTGGTTTGGAACTACTAGAAATTCGTCGCCTTAAGCAAGACATGATTACATGTTACAAAATTCTGAACAATTTAGTTTGCCTAAATAAATCAAGTTTCTTTTTATTTAACAACTATATTTACACTTGAGGACATAATTTTAAATTATGCAAACTAAAATGTAAACTCGATGTCTGTAAACACTCTTTCTCACTCAGGGTTGTTAATATTTGGAATAACTTGCCGTCTGACGTCATGAATGCCAAAAATATAAAGAGCTTCAAAATTAAAATTAACTCTATTGACTTTGAAAAATACTGTTCCGGCTAACTGGTTTTTGTTTTATAACTATGGTCTTGTATATAATTGTAATATATTTTTTAAATTATCTAGCATTTGTATTATGTGATTGTAGGGCGCGTTGTCAGAGTCCTTCATATTTTATGGACCTGCGTGTCCTTTAGAACATGTATCACTGTTCTAATAAATTTTAATCTAATCTAATCTATTTGTATTATTCACAAATGTTACTGAGTAAAAAAAATTACTACATATTTGTATTATTCACAAATGTTACTGAGTAAAAAAAATTACTTCATATTTGTATTATTCACAAATGCTACAGAGTAAAAAAAATTACTACATATTTGTATTATTCACAAATGTTACTGAGTAAAAAAAATTACTACATATTTGTATTATTCACAAATGTTACTGAGTAAAAAAAATTACTACATATTTGTATTATTCACAAATGTTACTGAGTAAAAAAAATTACTACATATTTGTATTATTCACAAATGCTACAGAGTAAAAAAAATTACTACATATTTGTATTATTCACAAATGTTACTGAGTAAAAAAAATTACTACATATTTGTATTATTCACAAATGTTACTGAGTAAAAAAAATTACTACATATTTGTATTATTCACAAATGTTACTGAGTAAAAAAAAAATTACTCCATATTTGTATTATTCACAAATGTTACTGAGTAAAAAAAAAATTACTACATATTTGTATTATTCACAAATGTTACTGAGTAAAAAAAATTACTACATATTTGTATTATTCACAAATGTTACTGAGTAAAAAAAATTACTACATATTTGTATTATTCACAAATGTTACTGAGTAAAAAAAAAATTACTCCATATTTGTATTATTCACAAATGTTACTGAGTAAAAAAAAAATTACTACATATTTGTATTATTCACAAATGTTACTGAGTAAAAAAAAGAATTACTACATATTTGTATTATTCACAAATGTTACTGAGTAAAAAAAATTACTACATATTTGTATTATTCACAAATGCTACCGAGTAAAAAAAATTACTACATATTTGTATTATTCACAAATGTTACTGAGTAAAAAAAATTACTACATATTTGCATTATTCACAAATGTTACTGAGTAAAAAAAATTACTACATATTTGTATTATTCACAAATTTAATATCACAAAAAGTATGATTTAATTTATTTATTTGATAAAAAAGTGCTTTTTTTATAACTTTGTTTCTTAATAGTTTTTACTAATGTTTTAAGTGAGTTATGGTTAATCACAAATTACGTCACATGATAATATAGGGGAGGGACGGGGTTAGTGATTTGTTACAAGGAGGAGGGGCTTAAATTTTGCGAAGCAAGTTTTTTTTTTAAGTTTTAAATCTAGAAAGTCTTGTTTTTTTGATTAATAGAGTGCTTAGCCGAGCATAAACCCTCAGTTGATGTATGTAAACTGGACTGCGACTATTCCAATTTAAATTAAACTAGAATTGATTTTTTAAATTGACTTTAACTAAAGTAGAATAATGTATGACTAAGTTGCGTTAACTGCTTTATCAAATGTAATAAAGTCATGATGAAATAGATAATGACATCCCGACACTTTACTAACTTATTGCTAATGAAGTTATTTAAATTATATTTTTATCAAAAATTAAATATCTTTGGACGTTATTTGCTCATTAAGTCACAGTTCATTTATACAAAACATATTTTAACCTAACAAACAACCCTGGTCTGGTACGACAAATGTGCAAACTTTTGTAAAAAAAAAAGAAATAAAACGAGCATCAGGTTTATATATTTTTGCATATGCAAATGTTGGCATTTACTTAAAATTTTTAAAAACACATAGACATTACTTCAGTTTTTTGTTTATATTTGTTGTTTATTTATAAATTGTTTATTTATAAAAATATTAAAAATACATTTTAAAGACTATAAAAGAAACCATGTTAAAACATAATTATTTCTTTCAATAGCATTTCTATGTAATGCTATTGAGAGTTTAAAAAACTAAGTACACAATCAAAGAAAGTAATTGTTTTTTAGCATGGTTTTTTGCATGCGTTATCAAAAGCATGCAAAATTTCACATAAAATGAATGCATTTACATATAGTTTAAAAGGATGCTTAAATATTATGATTGTTTTTTTCTACAGCGTGTTTTTATTTTAATTTTTTTTTTCTTAAAGTGAAGTAAAGTTTATTTGCATATTGAAAACACTTTTAAAATGTCTGAAAAACTTTTTAAGTTTTGCTGAATTATATACAATTTTGATAAGTTTATTACAGTTTTTATTTTTTATTGTGTGTTCAACAAGGCCAATAATATGATATTTTTATTAACTTATTGTTAAATACTTAATATGATATTAAGTTTTAAAAAAGAAATGTCAAAACAACTTTTATTTTATCTTTAGCTTCTTTTATTTTAATTTCTTCAAGTTTATACATTTTTTTAATTATAAATAAATTTAGCAAATTAAATTGAGAAAAATTTATTATTTAGTATGAATAAATAATTTACAATTGTTAAGTCATTGTATATTATCATTAATTTGCGCGCACTTTGCAAAAATTGTTTTGAAGGAAATAAAATTAATTAGATTCAATAAGCATCATTAATATACCTAATAACTTATTAATTAGAATAAAATTATTTGAAAAGAAAATTTCCTTTTAAGACATACATCTCTTAAATTAGATGGTCGTCATTAAATAAAGATACGAATGTCAACGTTTATTTAAAAAAACATGATTTGTCAAGCCCTAGGCTTTTAACAAGTATAAAACCAAAATTTTGTATTTAATAAGCAATTTTTTTAATGAATAAACAAATAGCTCGCGCAAAAACCAAAGGCTCTCCTAAGTAGCCGTTTAGAGGAGGAGCTCACATGGCTTGTCATGTTTGCTTTAGGAGAGCTTTTAATCGCTCTCGCAGTCTTTTACTGGTTGAATTATAATGATAATGAAACCATTATTTATTTAAATTCTATTTTATTATAAGTAATCAGTGGTTTGAACCCCCTCCCCCCTCCACTCACTAAGGTGAGGGGGAGGGCAGCACCAATCAAAGAGGGAAGGGGGGCAACCAACTTACAAAGATACAAGCATTCATTTTCTAACATGAAACATACATGATTCACTTTCTAATGAATCATTACCCCTCTGCCAATATTGTTGGCAGAGGGGTAAAGAGAAATGTTAACAACATCATTATCAATGCCTTGGCTCTAATCCCACTGACCTTGCTGGCACTAAAACCTATAACTTCTTAATCTCTTATTCAGATAATTAACTTGTGACTATTTTTGATAATTAACTTGTGACTATTTTTCCTGACAATCTTGTACTTTTTTGGGGGAGTCTTATCATTGCATCTTACCTTATCATTGCACTACTTACTACTATCCTAAAGCTGACTGGGATTTTTCTAACAAAAATGTGTTTCCAGCAAATATACAATTTTATGGTCTTAAAAGGGAATTGACAAAAGTTAATTAAATTAGTAAAAATTAGTTGCTCCCCCCCCCTTTAAATAGTGGCAAAACCCCCTCTACCTCCCCTTAGTGAGTTGGGGGGGGGTTAGACCACATACAGACCACTGATTACCTATAATAAAAGAGAAGAATAGATTTAAAGAAATAATGGTTTCATTTTAAAATTAATTTAGATATTTAGACATTAAGTATCTAAATATCTAAATTAATTTAGAGACCTTTATTTGAACCATAATGAAGGTCTCTAAAAAGTTACTGTCCCCTTTATTTGTGCCCCTATCTACTATAAAGACCAGATCAAGGAGAGTGCAACCAACATATTGTAATATGTTCTCTTTTATATTTATTTTCGTTTCTATATTATAAATGTAAAAAAAAAAAATTAACAATGGCTAATAGTATTAACTTATTATGACAAAACTTTTTTGATGGTAGTAATAATCTTGTAAATAGCCAAAACGACTTTATAATTGGCGACTGTGGATAAAAACAATACATATTGTATGAAAATATTTACGTTTTTAAATATTTACATTTTTAGATACTAGTTAAGGGTCCTAAACTGCCGAGACATGTTTTGTTCATATTAAAGAGAATGATAAAAATAAACATTTGGGCTAAATTTTTTTGATTAAAACAAAATGCATGCAAAAAAAACTAACTTTTTTGCTTTAGTTAAAGCTCGCCTTCTCTTTTTTGTAATAGGCCAAATAGTTTTCATAATATACACCGCAATCTAATTTCTGATCAAATTGTCAATGTCTTTTCTCTTTACCCCTCTGCCAATATTGTTGGCAGGGGGGTAAAGAGAAATGTTAACAACATCATCATCAATGGCTTGGCTCTAATCCCACTGACCTTGCTGGCACTAAAGCCTATAACTTCTTAATCTCTTACTCAGATAATTAACTTTGTGACTATTTTTCCTGACAATGTTGTACTTTTTTGGGGGAGTCACCTTATTATTGCACTACTTACTACTATCCTAAAGCTGACTGGAATTTTTCTTTTGATTATCTTCATGACAGTTCTTAGGACGATGTCAGCTGATAAATGCGCTTCATACATAACCTAGATTCAGGCAGGAATGGAAGCTTTTTTTGTGGGTTCCAAGTCAAGCCTCGTTCTACTCTGTGATTTTCACCTTCTTGTGCAGCTGCTATATCTAATCGTAATAATTTTTTTCATCTTTTTTAGAAGAACAATTTTCTAGAGAAAAAACAGCTATTTACTATTGCTAAATTAATGTAAAAAGTTGCTGTCTTATGCTAAGCTTCATTATTCTCAGTTCACTAAATCTCACAATAGCTCAGAAGTTAGGCTCTAAAGACTTTTGGAAAATCAGCGTCATTAACAAAAGTAGTTATAACATTTCATCTCTCATTCATGGGACTGATCTTATTACCTCTCCCAAGGAGAGGTAATAAGATCAAAGAACTTTTCTTCTAATTTTAAACCTACAGTAAAGGCTTTAAATTTACTGTTTGTGGTAAAAAATAAGAGTTAATGACTCTTTGACTTTAAAAATGACCATATCAAGTATGCATTATGTAAAAACCATTAAATTTTATTGAGGAAACTAATTAAGTTGTATTGCTTTTTAAAAAACCACAAAAACTCAATAGACTAGAATGTTTTTATTTTTTTAATAAAAATAAAAAAGTTCTAAATGTTTTTATTTATTTTTTATTTACTGTTTATATACATCGACTGACAAATAGGAAAAACATGAAAGAAGTGCTGATATACTAGCTGAAAAAACAGGTATATCATGCGAGGAGTGCTTCTACATAGACTGACAAACAGGTAGAACATACAAGGAATGCTGCTAAATTGACTGACAAATAGGTAGAACATGCAAGGAAAGCTACTGCATTGAGTGACAAATAGATAGAACATGCTAGAAGTGCTGATACATTAACTGACAAACAGGTATAATATGTGAGGAGTGTTGCTACATTGACATATATATAAATATATATATATATATATATATATATATATATATATATTTATATATATATATATATATATATATATATATATATATATTTATATTTATATATGTATTTGTATGTATATTTAGAAATTACAACTGTTACAATCCCAAAATGAAGTTGAAGAAGAAAAACAACGTAGAATTGTACTTGAAGAAATGATTAGGACTATAAGAGTAACAATTATTAGTTTAAAATTTTTTTTTAAATTTTAACTATTGCTGTTTCAGCTACACCTCACATTCACTATAGCAACCCTTGGAATTACAGTCAGCATTTGGCAATGTTGATCTAACTGCCAACCTTAAAATGTTTGAGGTCAGCAAAAAATTGCTGGCCTTGTTTCTATGTCTTATGTTAAGACCTTTGTATCAAATGTTTTTTGCCAACCTGGTGCCAATCCCTAAAAGATTGAGGGTTGGTCTTTTTCCAAATTCTGAGGGTTGCTATAGATACCATTCACCATACAGACCATAAGCACCTTTTATCATACACACCACTTACCATACACACCATTTACCATTATACACCACCCCCTAATATACACCACTCACCACATGCAGACTCACTTAGATATTTTGGTTAGTTTTTTGAAACAGTTTTATTGATTTTTAGGCTGAACATCAAGTAAAAGATAATGACATGTCCAGGTATTTAAGTTCAAACTAATTTTATAACATTTTGAGTTTTGGAATTATTAATGTTTAGGCATTATTTGGTTTAATTTTTTAAATATAAAATAAATTTTATATTTTATACTTAAAATTTTTTCTATTTAAATAATTCCAATATTTAGAAAAACTGATTATTTCAAAAAGTCAGAAAAAAAAATTAAAATTTTTTGTTTAATATTTTTAGTCAAACTAATGAAGAAACAATTAGTTCAAATTACAAAATTAATTGTCTGGAACTTGAAAGGTTAAATGATGTCATTAAGAAACAAATATCAGACAATCAAGATTTAATTGAAAAACAAATTAAAGGAGATGCTGAAGTAAATTCTCTTCGTCATCAGTTGTCAAGGCAATCATTTAGTTTAATATGTGTACACTTTTTCAGTTAATTTTATTACAATTTTAATTTTTAACTATTTTTTTGAAACTTTTTTTTAGCTTAGAGCAACTTAAAAATGAAATTGAACAAAAGTGCATGTCAAAAGACACACAAATAAGCAGGTTTATTTTTTTTTCCTTTAAAATTAAAAAAGTTTTAAATTTTAAATATTTTAAATTTTTACTATATTATAAAATGTTTTTAAAATAGATTCTTTTTCTAGTATTAAGTTTTTTTTTTAAAAAAAAAACCCCAATGACAAGTATGTAAAATAAGGGCAAAGGGAACAAATACACACAATTAAAGAGGCTATTTTTTGTATATAAAATGTTGCTAAAACACTCTCTGAACCTGATTAACTCTAAGTAACTTTGTGACCCTACGAATAAGTTTGCTGCTCAAAAAAACATGTTATGTGATACAGAAATATAGTTTTTTTTTTTTAATGTATAGCTCTATTTTTAAACCTTTATTTGAGTTTTATGCTAGGTATGTGTTAACAAGAAAAAATTTTTAAATATATTTTTGCTGCTGTATTTTGTGTTTTTGCTAGTAAAAGTTTCCTTAGTTGCTTAGTGTGTTTTTTTAGTTACTGAATTGTTAATTAAATGACTATTCCACTATATGTTGGGTGATTAATGTTCTTAGATCTCTTTCTATTTCCATCTAGCCTTGTTGAAGTCACCTTTTTTGAAGCTGTTTACTAGTTAGGGTGGTGCTATAATAACTCTCAAACATATGTGAAACCTTTTCTAAATAATAAATAATTTTATTCTGTAATCAACTTAATAAAAAAGAATTAAATGTTTTAAAATTTTATTAGGTCAAAAAATAAAGTTACTTGTTGGAGATAAGACTTTCTATATTTTTGTTTCTTTAAGACTGATTAAATTTCAAGTATAAACTATAAATATGTGACAAAGTTTATAAAGTTAAACTATTTTTGATTAGACATTTTAATAAACATTTCTGTTAAAAAAGTCTCTCAAGAGCATCATTAGACCTAGTTTGTTTACATCGGATGTTACTTCAAAGGATATTTCTGGTCAAAGCTTCTTGGGATTGGCCATGATGCATTTGACCAAAAACAGCTAATAAACTTTGCTATTTCTTTCAATGGCAGTCTTTCTTCAGGGAATAGAAAGTATCCTAGTAATAAGTAAATTGCTCTGCTGTTCCACCTTGCTGAATGAGAACCTTGCTGAATGGCAATTTGGTTGACAGCTCTATTTCTGAGAAAATTTGGCAGGTCAATTTCCAAGAAAATATTGGTATTTAAGTAGTGTCTAACCAATGCATACATAACGAACAATAAACTACATATGCAATTCATACATATCATTGTTATTGAAAAATATTTACTAAACTGTCAAATTGTTAAAAAAAAATTTAAAGAAATACCCCTAGCCTTTAATCATCAGATTTTTAGAGTAGGCAGAGAATGAAACATTTTATGCAGAACATTGTATGGTTCTTTTAATTATGAAAACTTTTCTTTTAGTTTCTTTGTAAACTTAAAATCAGTTAAAGGAGGCAATTTTGTTGGTGTTGGCAAGTGAAATACTACTTTTTTTTTTTTGTTGAAAATAAGGTCTGAAATGTGAACATTAACCCATAATAATGAATAGGTCTTTTGAATTGCTCATACCTTAAAATCCCTATTATTCCATCAGAACCGTTGGGAATATTTTCATGAAAATAACCTAATGACTGAGTTGCCCTAGCTCTTTTGTGAGTAGAGATACCAGCTACTGTGTACATGATAGCAAGTGGCATTACCTTAAACCAAAAATAAAGTAAATGTCTTCTATAAAAAATTTATTTTCATTTTGAGAAGTATTATTACTCAATTTTGGTTTGAACTTTCTTTAGGTAATTCCAACAATGGCTGAAAATTGTCAGTCATCTTCGTTTTGAGAGCTTGACCCTATACATAATCGCTTTACATAATCAAGATCTGTGTTTTTTGCTATCATCTGCCAGTAGCAGAATGCTCAAAAACTTTATAATACCCATTTAATATCATAAAAGATCTGTTTCTAATTCCATATTCATTTTTATATTTTTGTTGATGATATCAAATGCCATAAGAAAGTCCATAGTAGACTGTCTATTTAAACATGTTTTATAAGCTTCCACAAGTTCATTTATAAAATAACAGCTTTTGACGATGGGGTGGGGGAGGGGTGTCAACTAGATGGTGACAGTAGCTAAGAATGTGCTAAGCTTCTGGAGTAGTTATAAAATTGATCAAGCTTTTTTTTTTTGTAATCAGTATTTTTTTGCCTCGTTTCTCAAAAGTAACAATTTTTTTTTTTATTAATTTGTATTTAGAATACAATTATTCATGTTATAGAAAAGGTGTCATGAGATAATAAAAAGTTTCACGAGATAACAAAAATAGTATCACACTCCTACTGGTGAGTTTGGTGCCATTTTACAGTGTATATATATATATATATATATATATATATATATATATATAATATATATATATATATATATATATATATATACACACACACACACACTGTAAAATCGCCTAAGTTCAGTCACCTTGTAACTTCGTTTGTTTAAGAAAAAATATATAAAAAGCAAAACTCAAATTTTACAAACTTTTTTTTCTCGGATATCATTTCTAATTACTTTGTAAATATGATTCTATAAAAAAATAATAATGTTTATATGCAAACTGCTAAGACAATTGTTTAGCAAAACAACAATTTGAAAAATGTATGCTATCTAAAATAAGCAAATTATAATGATCAGATTTAATCTTAGTAATATAAATGATCAGATTTAATCTTAGTATTATCAAGAATCACCAAATTAATTATATTTCAAAAAAAAAAGTTGTAAATTTTTGAAAATTAACTACTTTTTTCATAAAATTTGGTGAAACTTTGAAATACTCCAACTTTGGTCATTCATGGATAAACAATGAAGGACACAATTAACAGTAATATTTTGAAATGTTGATAAGTGTTGCGAATGTAAAATTTACCAGTAGCTTTACCTGTAAATTTTGACATTTTTATAATGGATACACACCATATTTTATTTAAATAAAAAAAAAATACACCAACATATTTTATTTGAATAAAAAATTAGTTTATAATTTCAACATTAACTGACGGTTCTTTGAGTTTTAAAAAATGTCTAGCTTGTGACATTTTTTTTTGGAGATAAAATTACAGCTCAACGACAATTATGGATGCATTGCGAATCCTGTGATGATTGGTTGTGTGGATCTTGGTGTTCTACTATGGTCAACGATATGTGCAAAAATTGTCAATAAACATACAAAGTTCATTTAAAGCAAAGTAGTGTTTTTTTTATTTTATTGAAAAAAACTTTTTAATTTAATTGAAAAATATATTTTTAATTTTATTAACCAGTGCACACCTCCCCACAACACTATTTATGTTTCAAAAAAGTGCACACGTCCAGATTAAGTTTTTCTAGCAAGGTATGATTATTGTGTACACACTTTTCAAATTTCACAAAATTTGAAAAGTGTGTCCTGAAAAAAAAAGGTGTTTATTGTGATATAAAAAAAAGTGTGTTTTTCTCATTAACGTATACAGAAAAACAACAGGTTTAAAATGAAGTTCGTAGAAAATTTATAGACTAGTAAAGGCATAGACTAGTAGCTAATAGGCGAACTCTTTAAGAAATACCTTTATTTAAAATAACATATATTAGATTTCATACCAATAAATTAAAGAATCCTATCAATAATAAAATATTTTAGTTTAAACATTTTTTTAGCTAATATAGACTGAACATGATAAACTCTCAAATTCTCTCTGCTTTTTATGAAAGTACATCAAGTAATAGATCGTTTTTGTATGTTTCTTTGTAGAAATCACTCAGAAGTTTGTATCTGGAAAACTCACTGAATCTCAAGTGAATAGTTTCTTCTGCCTGTTTGGTGTAAATTCCCAGTCCGTATATTATTTCTACAAAACTATTTATAAGTATTTCTACAAAACTATTTGTATTATTATTTCTACAAAACTCCTTTACATGGCAAAATAAAAAAGTTTTTTCTCTTTTTGTTTTGATCTCTAAAGTAATAAAAATATCAAAAAAATCATCTATTGCTTTTTCAAAATCCATACTGAGTATCTTGCTAAGACACGAGTAAGCCACATTTTCATAAGCATCAAAGGCATCACAAAATCCCCTAAGATCTTCAGGAAGAGAATCTCTAAGCTTATTTGTTAATCTCATCAATTTCTTACACTGGTTTCTTTCAAACTCTCCACCGTGAAAATTTTGTCTGACAAGGGAATTCCTTTCTATGAAGATTTCTCTTTTTTTTTGTCCCCATCTTGTTGATAGGTTATTCTACAATAGATTGATTGTTCCTGTATAGAGATGAAGTTTGGGTATTTTGCATACTTCCATAACTTCAGTTTCATTTTCTCCTGGCAGAAGTGGTTGATTCTTGCAATTATAAAATTCTTTCAGTGATGAGTCAATTACATCCTTGTTTCCAAGCAAGATTTTGCTCTCTAATTGATCCAAAGGTTCTTTCATCTCCTCTAGAGTAAAGCCAATCTACACAATCTGTACTCTTATTACAGAAGCAACAAGGATACTTTGAACTATGATTTTGAAGTTCTAAAATCAAGTTAAATAGTTTCAAATTTTAAACTGAATATTTCTAAAGTCAATAATTTTGAAAAAGACATAGTTTTCATAAGTCTTCTGAATATTTGGGACTATTTCTAAGAGTAATGTCTGATCAACGGACATTTCTTTTTTACAGGTTCGGACAAATGCCCTTGGAATAGTTTGATCTCTTAATGATATCATCACTAAAGTAACTTGCCACATCAATAGTACCAATTTCAAGCTTAAAGAAACCTCCATTGCCACAAACAAATACTTTCACCTTAACATTAAAAGCGTCTTGTTTTCTTTTTTCAATCATTTTCCAGGTGAGTTCTTCCACATCTTTAATAAGAACAACAGGTCGCACAATTAAAGTTTAAGTTTCCGAATTATAGAAATCAAGGTCAACTGCTGAGAAGTACTCTACTAAAGACCATGAATTCTTCAAACCATAAATTGCCATGGATTCTTTAAACCCAGCTTCTATTGGTTTTCGTCCGTGCTTAACCCACATTGCTTTTGATATTGCATCCATAACAGAACCAGACAAATTTCTATCAACCTTAATGGTCATCAAATCTTTGTGACTCCATTCTTCAGTAGGCTTTAAATTGCGTACTAGTTTTATTTTTTATTTTTTTATTTTTACAAAATCGATTATCAATATAATTTTCTGTATGTATGTAGAAAATCACTTAACAAAATTTTTTTTTTCATTTTACACTGTGTTTCACCAACAAAGACTCATCAGAAATTGTCTGTTCTTTTAAGAACATTGAGCTCTCTATTTTGTAGAATATATTTTTAAAATTGTTTCAATATATATATATATATATATATATATATATATATATGTATATATATATATACATATATATATATATATATATATATATATATATATATATATATATATATATATATATATATATATATATATATATATATATATATATATATATATATATATATATATATATATATATATATATATATATATATATATATATATATATATATATATATATATATATATATATATATATATATATATATATATATATATATATATATATATATATCATTTATCACTTATATTATATAAGTGGTGCTAAAAAAAACTTTTTTGAAAATGTCTGCTAAAACCTCTAAATGTGTTCAATATAATAAAATAATATTGGATTTGAATAATTTTTAATAAAAAATATTTTCAGGGGTGAGTGAGAGACCAAATAAGTCCCTAATTTTATAAAAAAATAGTTTTTTAAATGTATGTTGTGTTGGGTCTCAAATGAAGCGAAATTATATAAAAATTTCAAAACTAATCATTATTTTATAAAAAAACATAAAAATAAATTATTATTAAAAAAATCTTGTTATATATATATATTTTTTTTGTTTTAAGTTAAACAGTGTGTCATTATTTATGTACATAAATCTAAAATAACAATTTATTTATAAAATAATTTATATATTATTTCTTATATACCTATTTTTTATATATATATATATATATATATATATATATATATATATATATATATATATATATATATATATATATATATATAACACATATATATATACAGGGCCTATTCTAGAAAAAAAATTTGGGTGGCAGTACCCCCTTGTTCCAGCAAACTTTAGCAGAAATATATATATATATATATATACACACACACATTTACATACATGCATCAACCCTCGGCAATAATTTGCTGACCTCAATCTGTCGGTCGGAATCAGGTCGCCAAAAATTATTTGATACAAATGCTGACCATAAAACATAAAAACGAGGTGAGCAATTTGCTGATCTCAAATACTTTCAGGTCGGCAGTTAGGTCCGCATTGCTGAATGACCCTAATTCTGAGGGTTGCATGCATACATATATATATATATAATGAACGTTTATAAAAAATGTATATAAAATATTTATTTAATAGTGTGTTGTAATGTTTATTATAATCACATAGTTTACAGACAGCAATAAACACTTCTTCAGAAGCTTTGAGCATTGTTCATGAGCAAGTAAATCAACAAAGAAATGAAATTCAAAGTTTGGAACAAAAAATTATGCTTCTTGAATGTTCACTTAAAGAAAAATCTGAGATAAACAATTCAAATGAACTTGCAATTAAAACTGCTCAAGAACAATTGACTGCAGAGGTATTTTTTGTTGCTTAGAAAGGTATTAAGTTTTTTTTCTTAAATATATTGAAAAAATAAATTGTTTATTTATTTCATAAATCATTAAACTTTGTAGAAATCTACAATCATTAACATGGAAAAGGATTTAGTTAATTATAAGCTTAGTGTTGATGAGCTTCAACAGAAAAATACTGATTTAATGGATACTTTAAAAGAGTTAGAACCTAAGTTACTTTTTGAGAAAAGCCAAGTTGCAAGACTTGAACGAGAGCAAGTAGAATTAATTGCAAAGGTATAGCAGTATTTACATTATTAATATATAATTTTTTACATTAATCACATAAATATATCACAATATTTTCTGCCCTAACTTCTTATTTATAATTGTTTAGATAGAAACAGGTGAAGGGTCCAATGCAGTTATTCAGCAACTCTCTCAAGAAAAGGTATAATTAAAATTTAGTAATTATTGAATTAATATAAATGGTTCTAAGGTGTTTCAATATGTATTATCTTGAAAGCACCTATATTACTATTATTATTAAAATGTATTTTCTAGCCAATTAAACAGCTACTAAAGATAATATTACAAAACCACTCAAACTGCTACTTTTTTAATGTTTTTATAATAATATTTAAAATACCACAGTTATTATAATAATGTATCATTTTTTATTTTTTACTCAAAGTGGCAAGTGGGTTGAGGTCACATACATTTGATCAAATACAAATATGTTAATTCTAGATTTCCAATTATATGCAATCAACATTTTCCAAATGCAAGTACAATTACAAATCATTGTAATTAATTCTAGATTTCTAAATATAAGTTCAAATACAAATATATGCAATCAAATTTTCCAAATACAAATACAATTACAAATCATTGTACTTAAGATTATAAAAAAAAAATTTTCGAGACAAGGTAAATATATAGTAGCAGAGTATGAGTCTAGTTATTGAAGTTCTTTTTTTAAAGTTTTTTATACCTAACATATTACACAAGGAAAATCCAAACATTAAAATGTATTTTGACTTGAACAACAATACTTACCTTTATTTGTGTCAAAGATAAATGCTTTAATCAGACCAGACTTTTTTAAGAAAAGAAAAAATTAACAAGCTGAAACTTTCCTATGCAAAAAACAATATGGCGTTAAAAATAAAAAAAGTTTTTAGCTAATAATTTGTTTTTTTTAATTTAATTACCTATAAATTTATTTTCTAAGTTTTCACAACTTGTCTTGGCATTTTAGGAATTCTTTAAAGATATAAATGTTGCGTAGAAGTCAAAGCCATAGTTTAAACCCATAAATTTGTGGTCTTATACTGTTATATTAAAACCCTGAAATTTTAGGCTTCATACTGTTTCATTTAGAAAGTTAAATAATGGCAATGTTACCTTTTCAAATTTGATTTTAGATTCTACTTTCTGATTCAATATCTTCACTTGAGAAGAATTTAGAAAATCAAACAAAGTTACACAAGGAGCAAGTAAAAGAAATGATTCATGAACAAACTATTCTTCAAGAAAGAGTACAAAATTATGAAAATGAGATTAAGAAAATGGAAAATTTGTTACAAGATTTCAAAGATGCTGAAAAAAAACATCTTGATTTAATCTCTTCGTTGAATGAGCAGTTAAAAACAAAAGTACCGTTTTTTTCATTCCATTATATTATGTTTTATTGTTGCATTTTGTTATGTTTTATGTTTTACTGTTGCATTTTGTTATATTTTATGATTTATTGTTGCATTTTGTTATGTTAGATTTTTTTCATTTTGTTATGTTTTATGTTTTATTGTTGCATTTTGTTATGTTTTATGTTTTATTGTTGCATTTTGTTATGTTTTATGTTTTATTGTTGCATTTTGTTATGTTTTATGTTTTATTTTTGCATTTTGTTATGCACGATTTGTTTCTATTTTATGTTTTATGTTCGACTTTTGAATTTTGTCAAGTTCATGTTTTGTTGTTGCATTTTGTTATGTTTTATGTTTGATTGTTTCATTTTGTTATGTTCATGTTTGATTGTTTTATTTTGTTGTTTTATGTTTTATTGTTGCATTTTTCTATGTTTTTTGTTTGATTTTAAACTGACGATTTAATTTACAGACTGATGTTTCTGAGCAACAGATTATCGAGATAAAAACTGTTAAAGAACAACTTGACAATCTAATACCTAACCATGCTCAACTTCAGCAACAGTTTAAAGAATCAAATGAATTAATACAAAAGGTGGAAGATTTTTCTTACTTTAGATATTCATTTTCAATTGTCATTTTTTATAGATTATAAAATAAGTATAAAATTAATAAAAAAAAAAGAATCTAAAAATATCTACTGATAGACCAATACAGTTCTCTAATGAAAATACGGACCAATACAGTTCTCTAATAAAAACCTATTTTAATAAATTTAAAGGGTCTCAAAATTAAAGGTTCTTATTGTTATCTTGCAAATTATAAATTGTTTTAAAAATTTGTAAAAATTTGTTTTAAAAAACATGGTTTTTGTAATTTTTTTGAAGTTATGTTTACCCTAACTTTACTTTTATTTGGCTTTTACTTGACAGAATATAATACTTTTTGTTTTATATTTGATCGCCACATTTCATACATTTTGCAATGTGCTCAGTCATTCGAGTGCCATTTTTTGATAGCTTTAAGCTGCAAAATTTGCATATAACTTGTTGAATTTTAGAACCTCCAGATTCTAAAGGTGCCTCATTGAACAATGTAGCTACAAAACATTTCTTTCTGCCTGGCATATTTTTTTTAGATTTCTTTTTTTTTTTTTTAATTAAAAATAATTAATAGATTACAAATTGTTTAATATAAATGTTTTTTCATTAGACAAAGTTAATCATGGTGTTATTTTTATTTACTGGAATATTGTTTGAATAAATAAAATTTTAGCTATCTAATTGCAATTTAAAATAAAATAAAGAAATTAAATATTAAAAATTTAAAAAAGTAATATACAAAAGTAAATAAAACATTAAAGTAAATTTTATTTAACAGTTGGTTCAATTTTGTATTTTGCAATGCAGTGTTATTTCATTCATTTTTATGAATGAAATAACACTGCTAAAATAACATTTTTATTTCCTTCATTCAGTAGTATTATACTTACAATCAACTAGTAGCTAATAGTATAGTTTTTTTGAGATTTATTTAAAAAATTACTTTTTTAAATATTTAATACTGTTTTTTTTTAATATTGGTGATTAGTTTGTAACAGCTATTATATAAGTTATTATGCATTTTATTAAATAGAAAACATTTGTATTTTGTAGGGTTAAGGGCACTGGAACTGTTTCAAGTATTATTATTATCTAAAATTTAATGAATACTAAAAAAAAGCAAAAAAAAACTATAAAAAACATGTTTTTAGAACCAGTCTGTTTTTTTTGCAAAAAAAACGTGTTTTTTTTAAAAAAAAAACACCGTTTTTTTTGGGGTTGCAACTCTAGGTGTAGTTATTCTTAACATAATTGAAAAGATGTAATTACATCTGTAAAATATCCAGATGTTGTTGCACAGATGTTGTTATAGTTAAATAATTGAAAATATTTAACTACATCTTTAGTATTCATATACTTTTTACTCAGATGCTATTAGAGATCAATAAAATCTCAGATGTTGCTGGACAGATGTTATTATACATCATTGTATTTACAGATGTTGTTGGACAGATGTAGTTTTACCTGACAGATGTAGTTTACAGATGTTCTTGGACAGCAGCCGTATTCACATCTCTCCGTTAAACTAATAGAGAGTTTGAGTGTCCAATAAGAAAAAAACTCTAAACGACTGGTTCTATAACAGAGGAAAATAAATGGTTTTCCAATCCTTCTGTTTAGACTCCGTATATTAACCGCTCCAATAAATTTCTCAGTTAAAATTCCTCTGTTAGCCAGCTCTATTAACTAGTTTTTGTGCTCTTTTTCTCATCATCATCTAAACGTTGTAATGCCAACTGATGATGACGATTTTGTTTATTTTGAAAATCGCAGCTGGTAATTTTTTAAGTATTGGTTGCTGAGTCATTCTTTAAATTTAATTTAAAGAATTACTCAGCAACCTATTCTTAAAAAATTACCAGCTGCGATTTAAAACACGCTACATATACACAATACAAAAAAATTAAAGAGTTTGTATCTACTTGACACTTGATTTCATTTTTTTTAATTTTATATTTATGCTTCTTCACTCTTATTAATTGCATGTTTTTTTGTAATCGATTTTATTTTCGATTTTTCCAAATGGATCAAAATATTAAAACAAAGTAATTTTATTGCAATTTCAAGAAATTACGATCATCTTTATTGCACTAAAGTAGAGGTTTTATTCTCCCACTATTTATTGCACTAAAGTAGAGGTTTTATTCTCCCACTGTTTAAACTATATGTTTACTTCCAAATGAGTTATTTCACTGTGTACCTTGTATTGTGTCATGTAGAAATTGACACCTAATTATTCAAAAATGATTTTACTTTTAAAATGAACTTTTCTTAGGCTAAAGTGAATCTTTAAACATATAAAAAATGTTATTCAACTTTTTAATGATAATATTTTAATATTCTCTTAAAACAAAATAAAAATTAACAATATTTCAAAAACTTCTAAAAATATCTCTTAAATAATATTTAATGCTACACACAAAACAACATGGATGTTTTTGTAAAAAATAGTGCCCAAATTATTCTAATTATACTTGGTATGGTTTCAACAAAAAAAGTTTCATGTATTTCCTACAGGACTTTGTCTTAGAACATATAGAAAGCTTTATTGCCCACCCAATCCATGTTTTGTTACTAAAGTCCTGTAATACAGGACTGTGTACATATTATACAGTGCATTGGAAAGGCAAAAACAAACTCGAAATATAAAAAATTTTTCTTTTAAGTAGTACCTTATATTTTCAACTAAAAATTTATCTTTTCAAGATCATCCTTTTGTAAAATAATTATTAGAAGGCATAGGGAAAAATCCATGCTGCTACCTTGGCTGCAGCATAGTGATTTTACTATGTGCTTGTTATAAGATATCCTTTAAAAATAATATTGTTAATTGTTTTAAAAATTCACGTACTAGCTAAAAAAAATTATATATGTTCAGTTTGTATCATTTATTATAAAGCTAAATGGGAACTTATTAAGCCAAAAATACTATCCAAGAATTTCTAAAATTGGCAACAGTTAAGATATTAAAATATATATATATATATATATATATATATATATATATATATATATATATATATTATACATATATTATACTTATATTATATATATATATATATATATACATATATATTTTAAATATATATATATATATATATATATATATATATATATATATATATATATATATATATATATATATATATATATATATAATGTATATATATATATAATGTATATATATATATAATGTATATATATATATATATATAATGTATATATATTATATATATATATATATATACTCTCTCAAAACATATATGGGAAACTAGAGAAAAACTAAAAGAAACACCAGAATTAACTTGGTCTATCCTAAAAAAAGCCCCCGCCTACAACAATGAAACAAAAAAATGTTTACTATGTTTATATGAAACTTTGCTTTATAAAAATGCTGAAGAGCTACTCAATAAAAAAACAGAATTAATCTCCAAGTGTCGTCACGAAAATAAATTTCTATTGAGCAACCACAAACCTGAAGATTAAATACACGCGGTCGTAACAATAAAAAAAAGTTTTTTTTCATATAGGTTTTTTCTGTATAGTTTCAATTGTATATAATTTTTTAAACGAACAAACTATATTTGTGTTTCACCTGATGATTGCAACAGCATGAAACTTAAAGTTGTGAAAATCACGTAGTTTTATTTTCTACTATATATATATATATATATATATATATATATATATATATATATATATATATATATATATATATATATATATATATATATATATATATATATATATATATATATATATATCTGTGTGTGTTTGTGTGTGTGTGTGTGTGTAAAAGATTTAAACTTTTTAATTGAAAACAAAGAATTCAACTTTTTAGTCCTTACTATCCAAGAGTTTCTAAAATTTGCAACAGTTAAGAGGTATTTACTATACCTAAGAAATTACTTCTAAAGCACGGGTCAAGAAAAATTGCAATCAGATATTTGTCATTTTTATTAAAGTTGAACCGCACTTCAAGTTCAGATTGAAGCAAAGATCTCATTGTTTTTAACTTAGAATAATTAAAGAACTTACCGTGCAAAAAAACTTGGGTTAAAAAATTTACCAGCAAATAATTTTTTAAATGACATAATTCAATTTATTTAAACATAATTAGTTAATAAATATAATAATATATGTAAAATAATATACATAATAGTTTTACTTATCTTTTTTTTTTTTTTACTTTATCTGTTGTTGTTGTTTGTTTATTCACCTCCTCAAGGCTGAGATGGCCGCTACAGATGAGGAGGCTTCTTAATACTTACTTGCACTTTCTTTCCTTCTCCACCACGTAAAATCTTGCTTTTACACAGCAAATAAACTGCTAGTTTATTGTCTTCCCTACAATTTCCTAATATTTCCAAATAGGTGATTTTTTATTAAAAGATGCCATTTTTTAAGCTTTTTGCAAACAAAAATTTGAAATAACACAACTTTTGTTACTTATTGTAGTTTTTAGCAAGCAAAACAACAATTGAATACGAAGTCTTTTATGTTCACTAAATTGACTTTTCAATTTAAATAGTTTTTAAAGGATAATTAATTGTTGATGTATTTATACAGTTTTTAGTGACAATATTTGAGGTCTGTAATTTAAAATAAATTATCAAATTTGTAAATAAATGAATTGAACTTCAATTGAAGTTCAACTTGTTTACTTAAAAATTCTAATGATTATATTATAAATACATTAATAACTGGGAAAGTTTTTGAGATTATCAAATCATTTCTTTCTAACCGATTTATTAAAGTCATCCTTGAAGGCCAACACTCTTCTTTATTTAGTAACTTCTGGGGTTCTCCAAGGTTCCATCCTGGGCCCTGTTTTGTTTCTTATCTACATAAACGATCTTCCTGACAACCTTTTATCTAAAGTAGCTCTTTTTGCTGATGACTCAACTTTATATTCCTGTCTTGACAAAAAGTCT